GTTAAAGGAAGCTGTAAAGTAACTTTACAGCACAAAGGAAAACAGTTCAAAGCACAGCTGCTGATCGTGGAAAAGAGTGTACCGCCTATTCTCGGAATCAGTGCATGTGAAAAGCTCAATTTGGTGAAAAGAGTGTATGTAGTGACATCACAGACTGAAAATGACCAAGAATCGCTACTGGCTGAGTACGAGGACGTGTTTGAGGGTCTTGGATGTTTACCTGGAGAACACAATATGTACTGATGACAAAATTACTCCATTTGTGCATGCGTGCAGAAAAGTTCCATTTGCACTGAGGAAAAAGCTCAACGAGGAACTCGGACGCATGGGAAAGATGAAGGTCATCACAAAAATGGATGACCCTACAGATTGGGTAAGCTCACTGGTTATTGTGGTGGAAAAATAACGGCGATCTCAGGATATGTCTAGACCCGAGAGATCTCAACAAAGCTATCAACCAAGAGCATTTCAAGTTGCCAACCAGAGAAGAGATAATGTCGCAGTTTGCTGGAGCAAATTGGTTCAGTAAGCTTGATGCCTCATCAGGATTTTGGCAGATGAAGCTAGATGATGCAAGCTCAAGGCTATGCACATTCAACACACCTGAGGGCAGGTAGTGATTTCTTCGTCTACCATATGGGATTCTCTCAGCGCCAGAGGTCTACCACAAGATAATTCACATGGTCTTCGAGCACATTCCAGGAGTAGAGACCATGATGGACGACATTATCGTCTGGGGGTCCACAAAAGAAGAACACGACGCGCGAGTAAGACAAGTAGTGGACCTGACACGGAAAGTCAAGAACTTGTTCTCAACTGGCTTACCTGGTTAAATAAAGGTGAAATAAAATAAATAAATAAAAACTGAAACTAAACAAAGACAAATGCGAGTTTGGTGTGAACACTTACCTTCGTGGGAGATGTACTTTTAGAGGATGGAGTCAAACCAGACCAGAGGAAAACATCAGCCATCAACAACATGGAGCGCCCGAAGAACAAGGACGACGTGAGACGTTTCATAGGCATGATCACCTACCTTGCAAAGTTCCTACCTCAACTGCCAGCACAGTCTGCTCCACTCAGCTGTCTTCTGGAACAGAAAAACAAATGGGAATGGTCCCATGAGCAGGAAAACTGCTTCAAAAACCTAAAGGCAATCACAGAAGAGCCAGTGCTCAGGTTCTATGATCCAGAGAAAAGCACAAGGATTTCTGCAGATGCATCACGGTTTGGCCTGGGAGCAGTTCTTCTGCAACAGCATGACGACACATGGCAACCTGTCGCTTATGTGTCCAGAGCCTTGACAGGCGCAGAAACAAGGTATGCACAAATAGAGAAAGAACTACTGGCGAGCACATGTGTGCGAAAGGTTTCACCAATACGTCTACGGACAAGCCTTCCAAGTAGAAACCGACCACAAACCATTGGTGTCAATCATGTCTAAGCCACTGAATGGTTGTCCAATGAGAATCCAGAGAATGTTGATCAGACTGCAAAAGTATGATGTGAAGATGATCTACACCCCGGGAAAGTTCATGTTCACCACCGACACTCTTTCTTGAGCAGTCGACAAGAACGAGAGCGCCGACACACAGAAAAACACTGAGATTCAGGCCTACGTCGACATGATCGTTGCATCACTTCCTGTTTCTTCTGAGAGAATGGCGCAGATCAAAAGAGATACAGCAGCTGACCAAACAATACTAATAGGATGGCCTGCACAGAAAAACAACTGTCCAAGGAGAATACAGGATTACTGGATGTGCAGAGCAGAGCTCACTGTTGTGGATGACATAGTGTTCAAAGGCAAAAGAAATGCTACAGAAAATACACGAGGGCCACTTGGGTGATGAAAAATGCAAACGACAAGCACAAGAAGTAATGTACTGGCCAAGAATGAACCAGGAAATCAGCCAGACCACTGCTTCATGTGAACTGTGTTTGACCTACAGGCCAAAGCAGCAAGCAGAACCGCTAATGCCTCATCCAGTACTCAACTGACCCTACTACAAAGTTGGAGTTGACCTTTTTGACTGCAAAGGCAAAAGTCACATTGTTGTTACCGACTACTACTCAAACTACCCTGAAGTAGCAACACTGCCAACTACCTCCAGCAAAGCTGTAATCACCTACAGTGAGGGAAAAAAGTATTTGATCCCCTGCTGATTTTGTAAGTTTGCCCACTGACAAAGACATGATCAGTCTATAATTTTAATGGTAGGTTTATTTGAACAGTGAGAGACAGAATAACAACAACAAAAAAATCCAGAAAAACACATGTCAAAAATGTTATTAATTGATTTGCATTTTAATGAGGGAAATAAGTATTTGACCCCTCTGCAAAACCCTTGTTGGCAATCACAGAGGTCAGATGTTTCTTGTAGTTGGCCACCAGGTTTGCACACATCTCAGGAGGGATTTTGTTCCACTCCTCTTTGCAGATCTTCTCCAAGTCATTAAGGTTTTGAGGCTGACGTTTGGCAACTCAAACCTTCAGCTCCCTCCACAGATTTTCTATGGGATTAAGGTCTGGAGACTGGCTAGGCCACTCCAGGACCTTAATGTGCTTCTTCTTGAGCCACTCCTTTGTTGCCTTGGCCTTGTGTTTTGGGTCATTGTCATGCTGGAATACCCATCCACGACCCATTTTCAATGCCCTGGCTGAGGGAAGGAGGTTCTCACCCAAGATTTGATGGTACATGGCCCCATCCATCGTCCCTTTGATGCAGCGAAGTTGTCCTGTCCCCTTAGCAGAAAAACACCCCCAAAGCATAATGTTTCCACCTCCATGTTTGACGGTGGGTATGGTGTTCTTGGGGTCATAGGCAGCATTCCTCCTCCTCCAAACACGGCGAGTTGAGTTGATGCCAAAGAGCTCGATTTTGGTCTCATCTGACCACAACACTTTCACCCAGTTCTCCTCTGAGTCATTCAGATGTGCATTGGCAAACTTCAGACGGGCCTGTATATGTGCTTTCTTGAGCAGGGGGACCTTGCGGGCGCTGCAGGATTTCAATCCTTCACGGCGTAGTGTGTTACCAATTGTTTTCTTGGTGACTATGGTCCCAGCTGCCTTCAGATCATTGACAAGATCCTCCCATGTAGTTCTTGGCTGATTCCTCACCGTTCTCATGATCATTGCAACTCCACAAGGTGAGATCTTGCATGGAGCCCCAGGCCGAGGGAGATTGACAGTTCTTTTGTGTTTCTTCAATTTGCGAATATTCGCACCAACTGTTGTCACCTTCTCACCAAGCTGCTTGGTGATGGTCTTGTAGCCCATTCCAGCCTTGTGTAGGTCTACAATCTTGTCCCTGACATCCTTGGAGAGCTCTTTGGTCTTGGCCATGGTGGAGAGTTTGGAATCTGATTGATTGCTTCTGTGGACAGGTGTCTTTTATGCAGGTAACAAGCTGAGATTAGGAGCACTCCCTTTAAGAGTGTGCTCCTAATCTCAGCTCATTACCTGTATAAAAGACAACTGGGAGCCAGAAATCTTTCTGATTGAGAGGGGGTCAAATACTTATTTCCCTCATTAAAATGCAAATCAATTTATAACATTTTTGACATTCGTTTTTTCTGGATTTTGTTGTTGTTATTCTGTCTCCCACTGTTCAAATAAACCTACTATTTAAAATGATAGACTGATCATTTCTTTGTCAGTGGGCAAACGTACAAAATCAGCAGGGGATCAAATACTTTTTTCCCTCACTGTACTTGAAATCAGACTTCGCAAGACATGGGGTTGCGTCTGAACTGTACTCGGACAATGGCCCGCAGTTCTCAAGTTCTGAATTCCGATCGTTCGCTAATGACTGGGGATTCCGACACAATACCTCCAGCCCCAACTACCCAAGGTCCAACGGCTTAGCAGAATGTTCAGTCAAAATAGTCAAATGTCTGATGATAAAGGCACACGATGGAAAGGAGGACTTCCTAAAAAGTATGATCTACTGCAGCACACCGCTGCAGAATGGACTTTCACCTGCACAAATGTTGATGGGACGTCGCATCAGAACCAACCTACCATCCATGAGGACTTGCTAACACCCAGAGGTGCTTACAACGTCAAACTCGCAAAGGAAAAACAGAAAGACAAACAAAAACAGCGACACGACAAAAGTGCAAGACACTTACCTGAACTGAAACCTGGAGATCATGTACGACTCCGAGACATCACTACAGGAACCTGGATGCAGCAAGGGTGCGTGCAGAGAGAAGTTGCACCGCGATCCTATGAGATCCAAACGGAGCATGGATCACAACTGAGACGAAACACAGTGGATCTAAGGCTTCAGCCATTCACTCAAGGGACTGAGGATCATCAGGAGGATACTGCTGAAGTGTCAAATGCCTTTACCAATGGACAATTGTCAGAACACCCTGACTGACAATGAACGCTGTCCAACTGCTTCAGGAAGCACGTCAGCAGAACGACCAAAAAGGACTGTCAGAGCCCTTGAAAGGCTTATTGAGGGGCATCTGGATTGGATGTTTTTGTTCACGTGAAAAGAAATAGCCACAATAGAGTATTGTTGGACAGAGACTGCATTTAGTTGAGAAAAAGAAAAAGGAGAAAGAAATGTGTATTATTGAAAATTGCATGTTATGCAGGTTGAGTAAACAAATGTGATGTGACATGTTTAGTTACAGAGAAAAAGTAGTTTTCTTTGTAAGGAAGGAAGATGTGTTGTTATGTGTTAAGGGGGGAGGTTGAAGTATGCCTTGCATGGCTACACAAGGAGATTTCTGGCTAAAGTATCAGTTTATTAAAAGTAGTTCAACCTACGCCCCGGTTTGTCATTATTCAAAGGAACAAACATAAGAAATAGTAAAAGTAACCTACCCAACCCTGGTAAGCAGGCTCCATGAGTAACGTTAGAGTACACAAAATTATCCCTGCAATGATTATCAAATGAATAACACCACCATGTCAGTGCATTGATTATTATCACACCTTCATCAGTCTGATGTCTTTGGTCTGTCTGGGCTGTGTTGTTTTGCAGACAGAAAATGGCATTTTGTTACCAACTCTTCAGTCAGCTCTTCCCTTTCTGGACCTTCACGGAACTCCTCGGTTGGAGTTTCACCAGTCTGTCTTTGACGAGCTTCGTGACAAGTTGATGGAGCGAGTCGCCACTATCGCAGAGGACAAGGATGAGGACCGGTGCGACATCTAAGCTAGTAAACAGCAGGTCTTCATAGAGAACTCATCAACAATTGTACATGTATGTTAGACATTGAGTTTCTGGGTATTCCTCCTCCCTCTACAGTTATGGTAAACTTGAAGAGCTGCTGGAGAAGAGCTTCCCGCTGGTGAAGATGCATTCCATTCAGCCAGTGGTCATGCAGGTGCTGAAGTATCTTCCAAAGGCAAGTCTCGGTCTTCCCACCTTCGAATCGAATCTGCATTAGGGGTAAACAGCACCACTGTTCGTCCCAGCTCCTTTGTTATTGTTTTGTTGTTGAAACGGAGGAGAGGAGCCTCCGGCAGCATGGTAAAAACATGTCAAGTACATACTCTGCTGTTCAATTGCACGTGCAATGATGTCCGAGGCGGGGGGGAAAATACAGTGTTCGTTGTTTGCAGTAACTTCTTTGTTGTTTTAATATCTCAAACGGACGTGGCAGTTTCACCAATTAATGATTCTAGCTTTAAGTGAATGCACGTCATTAACCCACAATGCAGATCTTTTTCTATTTATAGTTCTTTGCACATCACAGTAGCCATGATAAGATGCTTGTTTTGCATGATTCTTTCTCCAAAGCACCTTGATCTCTACCACAGCTCAGTGTTTGAAATGTATGTCCTGATTTACTGTTTATTTTCCTATGAACAGGTGCCAGAGAAAAAGCTGAAGCTTGTGATGGCTGATAAGGAACTGTATAAAGTCTGTGCTGTTGAGGTGAAGAGGCAGATCTGGCAGGACAACCAGGCTCTCTTTGGAGATGAGGTCTCGCCCTTGCTTAAGCAGTATATCGTGGCGAAGGAGGCAGCACTTTTTAGCAACGATCTCTCCATTCTGCACAACTTCTTCAGCCCCTCCCCCAAATCAAGACGCCAAGGAGAGGTGAGCCACCCCAGTACATCTGGATGTTTTCATTACCTTTTGACTCCCAATAGATTCTGTTCACATTCCAATAAGCATTTGTTATGATTAGGGCCAGGAACCCATTATAACAAGTAGGGCTGTGACGATACCAGTATCGCAATATTTTTTGGGACAACATAACAATGTTTAAAATTGTTTTCCTAAAGAAGTTAAATCTGCTTTGTGTTTTGTTTCCTTGCCACGATACTAACAAGTATCGCATACTGGTATCGTCCCGGCCCTAATAACAAGAGTCCATCGTTTTTCCTCCTCAGTCAACCATTTGTTGGTCTGTACATTCAAGAGAGAGTTGGGTGTGCTTGAGACAAACCCTTTTTCTGTATAGGTAGTCTTGAAACTGACCCAGATGATTGGGAGGAATGTGAAGCTGTATGACATGGTGCTCCAGTTTCTGCGAACACTTTTCCTGCGTACTCGTAACGTCCACTACTGCACCCTACGTGCAGAGCTGCTCATGTCACTCCATGACCTGGACATCAGCGAGATCAGCTCAGTAGACTCCTGCCACAAGGTATGCCCAAACCCTGGGAAAGAGACTCTGCAACTCATCTGAGTTGCTTTCTGTAGTCAAACAGGAAAAGTATTGATTTCAAATATATATATATATTTTTTTGCAAATATGTTGGCGAATGTTTGGCATGCTGATGCAGAGTGCTGTATTTACGTCTATATCTTGGCAGTTCACCTGGTGCTTGGATGCCTGTATCCGTGAGAAGTTTGTGGATGCCAAGCGAGCCCGGGAGTTGCAAGGGTTTCTGGATGGAGTGAAGAAAGGACAGGAGCAAGTACTTGGGTGAGAGAAGAAGAATGGAGGAAATGTGATTGAACATGGCTTATCATTGCAACATTTTTAGGATTAATAAAAATATGTGACAAAAATGTTAAAGGTCTTCTTGCTTTCCAGTGACCTGTCCATGATACTGTGTGACCCATTTGCCAGTAACACCCTGGTTTTGAGTACGGTCCGAAACCTGCAAGAATTGCTAAGCCAGGACGCTCTACCCAGAGTAAGACATTCAATGTTGTCATTTGTGGCCTTATGTTTTTGTGTCCATTTCCATATTCTGTCAATGCTATGTGGAGACCTATTGCCACTACTAAAGAGAGATGTTACTGTGTGAATGAACAGGACAGTCCAGACCTGATGCTGCTACTCAGAATGCTGTCTCTTGGACAAGGTGCTTGGGATATGATTGACAGCCAGGTCTTTAAAGAGCCTCGATTGGTATGCAGTCACTTCTTATTTCCACTAGTATTATTTTATAATCATGTATTTTTCTTCAGTGAGTTTACCTGTCTGTATTACATTACTTATGAGCTACATGGCAACAATAGTTTGATGTGCAGAGCAGGAAAACAACCTCTTTACAATTAACTACAGCTAGATGGGGTAAATGCGACAAAACCAGCCAGGGCAGAGACTCATCATATTTGATTCCTTCCCTCTCAGGAACTGGAAGTTGTGACCCGTTTTCTCCCAGCCATGTTGTCAGTACTTGTGGACGACTACACCTTCACTGTAGAACAGAAACTCCCTAGTGAGGATAAGACCTCCCTCTCCTACCCCACAGCCCTGCCTGATAACTTCAGCAAGTAACTACTGGGATGGGATGTCACACAGGGGAAGGGGTTAGAATGGGACATACTGTTACTTTGTAAGACTTGGCATGCCTGTATTTCAATTTTGTAAATGTGTGTTGACATTAAGAACATTATCATGTTGTTTACTCCAATTAGGGAAGGGGTGGTGGGGTTGGAAAGTAATAAAGGGAAATATATTTTTAAAAGTGTGTGTGTGTGTGTGTGTGTGTGTGTGTGTGTGTGTGTGTGTGTGTGTGTGTGTGTGTGTGTATATACACTGCTCAAAAAAATAAAGGGAACACTAAAATAACACATCCTAGATCTGAATGAATGAAATAATCTTATTAAATACTTTTTTCTTTACATAGTTGAATGTGCTGACAACAAAATCACACAAACATTATCAATGGAAATCAAATGTATCAACCCATGGAGGTCTGGATTTGGAGTCACCCTCAAAATTAAAGTGGAAAACCACACTACAGGCTGATCCAACTTTGATGTAATGTCCTTAAAACAAGTCAAAATGAGGCTCAGTAGTGTGTGTGTGGCCTCCACGTGCCTGTATGACCTCCCTACAACGCCTGGGCATGCTCCTGATGAGGTGGCGGTCTCCTGAGGGATCTCCTCCCAGACCTGGACTAAAGCATCCGCCAACTCCTGGACAGTCTGTGGCGCAACGTGGCGTTGGTGGATGGAGCGAGACAAGATGTCCCAGATGTGCTCAATTGGATTCAGGTCTGGGGAACGGACGGGCCAGTCCATAGCATCAATACCTTCCTCTTGCAGGAACTGCTGACACACTCCAGCCACATGAGGTCTAGCATTGTCTTGCATTAGGAGGAACCCAGGGCCAACCGCATCAGCATATAAAATATAATATGCCATTTAGCAGACGCTTTTATCCAAAGCGACTTACAGTCATGTGTGCATACATTTTTGTGTATGGGTGGTCCCGGGGATCGAACCCACTACCCTGGCGTTACAAGCACCGTGCTCTACCAGCTGAGCTACAGAGGACCACACAGCATATGGTCTCACAAGGGGTCTGAGGATCTCATCTCGGTACCTAATGGCAGTCAGGCTACCTCTGGCGAGCACATGGAGGGCTGTGCGGCCCCCCAAAGAAATGCCACCCCACACCATGACTGACCCACCGCCAAACCGGTCATGCTGGAGGATGTTGCAGGCAGCAGAACGTTCTCCACGGCATCTCCAGACTCTGTCACGTCTGTCACGTGCTCAGTGTGAACCTGCTTTCATCTGTGAAGAGCACAGGGCGCCAGTGGCGAATTTGCCAATCTTGGTGTTCTCTGGCAAATGCCAAACGTCCTGCACGGTGTTGGGCTGTAAGCACAACCCCCACCTGTGGACGTCGGGCCCTCATACCACCCTCATGGAGTCTGTTTCTGACCGTTTGAGCAGACACATGCACATTTGTGGCCTGCTGGAGGTCATTTTGCAGGGCTCTGGCAGTGCTCCTCCTGCTCCTCCTTGCACAAAGGCGGAGGTAGCAGTCCTGCTGCTGGGTTGTTGCCCTCCTACGGCCTCCTCCACGTCTCCTGATATACTGGCCTGTCTCCTGGTAGCGCCTCCATGCTCTGGACACTACGCTGACAGACACAGCAAACCTTCTTGCCACAGCTCGCATTGATGTGCCATCCTGGATGAGCTGCACTACCTGAGCCACTTGTGTGGGTTGTAGACTCCGTCTCATGCTACCACTAGAGTGAAAGCACCGCCAGCATTCAAAAGTGACCAAAACATCAGCCAGGAAGCATAGGAACTGAGAAGTGGTCTGTGGTCACCACATGCAAAACCAGTCCTTTATTGGGGGTGTCTTGCTAATTGCCTATAATTTCCACCTGTTGTCTATTCCATTTGCACAACAGCATGTGAAATTTATTGTCAATCAGTGTTGCTTCCTAAGTGGACAATTTGATTTCACAGAAGTGTGATTGACTTGGAGTTACATTGTGTTGTTTAAGTGTTCCCTTTATTTTTTTGAGCAGTGTGTGTATATATGTGTGTGTGAGATAGAGATATATATATCATTCTATATATATATATATATATATATAATGATATAATCTATATATATATATATATATATATATATATATATATATATATATATATATATATATATATATATATATATACACACACACAGTGGGGAGAACAAGTATTTGATACACTGCCGATTTTGCAGGTTTTCCTACTTACAAAGCATGTAGAGGTCTGTAATTTTTATCATAGGTACACTTCAACTGTTAGAGACGGAATCTAAAACAAAAATCCACAAAATCACATTGTATGATTTTTAAGTAATTAATTTGCAATTTATTGCATGAAATAAGTATTTGATACATCAGAAAAGCATAACTTAATATTTGGTACAGAAACCTTTGTTTGCAATTACAGAGATCATACGTTTCCTGTAGGTCTTGACCAGGTTTGCACACACTGCAGCAGGGATTTTGGCCCACTCCTCCATACAGACCTTCTCCAGATCCTTCAGGTTTCAGGGCTGTTGCTGGGCAATACGGACATTCAGCTCCCTCCAAAGATTTTCTATTGGGTTCAGGTCTGGAGACTGGCTAGGCCACTCCAGGACCTTGAGATTCTTCTTACGGAGCCACTCCTTAGTTGCCCTGGCTGTGTGTTTCGGGTCGTTGTCATGCTGGAAGACCCAGCCACGACCCATCTTCAATGCTCTTACTGAGGGAAGGAGGTTGTTGGCCAAGATCTCGCGATACATGGCCCCATCCATCCTCCCCTCAATACGGTGCAGTCGTCCTGTCCCCTTTGCAGAAAAGCATCCCCAAAGAATGATGTTTCCACCTCCATGCTTCACGGTTGGGATGGTGTTCTTGGGGTTGTACTCATCCTTCTTCTTCCTCCAAACACAGCGAGTGGAGTTTAGACCAAAAAGCTCTATTTTTGTCTCATCAGACCACATGACCTTCTCCCATTCCTCCGCTGAATCATCCAGATGGTCATTGGTAAACTTCAGACGGGCCTGGACATGCGCTGGCTTGAGCAGGGGGACCTTGCGTGCCGTGCAGGATTTTAATCCATGACGGCGTAGTGTGTTACTAATGATTTTCTTTGAGACTGTGGTCCCAGCTCTCTTCAGGTCATTGACCAGGTCCTGCCGTGTAGTTCTGGGCTGATCCCTCACCTTCCTCATGATCATTGATGCCCCACAAGGTGATCTTGCATGGAGCCCCAGACCGAGGGTGATTGACCGTCATCTTGAACTTCTTCCATTTTCTAATAATTGTGCCAATCTCACCAAGCTGCTTGCCTATTGTCCTGTAGCCCATCCCAGCCTTGTGCAGGTCTACAATTTTATCCCTGATGTCCTTACACAGCTCTCTGGTCTTGGCCATTGTGGAGAGGTTGGAGTCTGTTTGATTGAGTGTGTGGACAGGTGTCTTTTATACAGGTAACGAGTTCAAACAGGTGCAGTTAATACAGGTAATGAGTGGAGAACTGGGGGGCTTCTTAAAGAAAAACTAACATGTCTGTGAGAGCTGGAATTCTTACTGGTTGGTAGGTGATCAAATATTTATGTCATGCAATAAAATGCAAATTAATTACTTAAAAATCATACAATGTGATTTTCTGGATTTTTGTTTTAGATTCCGCCTCTCACAGTTGAAGTGTACCTATGATAAAAATTACAGACCTCTACATGCTTTGTAAGTAGGAAAACCTGCAAAATCGGCAGTGTATCAAATACTTGTTCTCCCCACTGTATATGCGAGAAGAAGAAAAAACATGGGGGATTGGAAGTGATGCAGACAATTACATTGATGGAAGTTACAATCTATCTGCAATATTAAAGCTGATCTACCCCCTAAAAAAAAGAGAATATTATCATGTAAAAAATGTAGAATGTAAAACACGTAGTATTGAGATTCTAAAATATACATTGAAATTATCAATGTTATTTACGGTGTACATGAAACTGCTATACGTTTAATGAGGACAGACCTGGGTTAAAATAATATTTAGGGTATTTCAATTACTTTCAAAGGTATTTGGAAGTAAGTATTTTTAGATATTTTTATTTATTTGAAAAGACAAGTAGTTGAATATTGGAATGTACTGTATTTGGAAATGCACTTGGAATGTATTTGGAAAGTTTTTGAAAATACTCAAATACACTCAAATACACAAATACACTCAAATACACTCCCATGCATTTAACTCAGGTATTTAAAAATAGTATTTGAAATAAGTATTTGAAAATACTTCCAATAGAAGTAGTTGATTCGTGCCACATAATTTGAAAATACTCAAATACACAGAAAATAAGTATTTAAATAACATACTCAAATACACATGTATTTGAACCCAGGTCTGAATGAGGACCCTCTTTGATTAAAGTAAGTTCTCCCCTGCACTAGGTACCTGCAGGAGAACAGGGTGGCTTGTGAGATGGGTCTGTACTACGCACTCCACATTGCCAAGCAGAGGAACAAGAATGCCTTACAAAGGTTACTTCCTGCATTGGGTAGGTTCTGCACTTGTTTTGCCACAGGTTAATAGAAGGAAAGAAATTGTGTTAGTAAATTGTTGTTAACCTGGCTCTCACCATTGTTTTGTCTCTGTCTTGTAACTGTAGTGGAGACCTACAACGACATGGCCTTTGGGGACATCTTCCTGCACCTCCTGACAGGACACCTCACCTTGCTCTCTGATGAGTTTGGGACTGAAGAGTTCTGCTCTGCCGTGTTTGATGGCTTCCTCCTCACCTCTTTCTCCAGGTCTGTCTTGTCCTGGGACATACAGGAGATTACTGCGAATATTGCATTTGAAATGAATGGAAATGTTACTTCACATTTATGAAATGTGTGAAATTGAGGTAGAGTACTATACTTCCTGTACTAATGGTAATATATTTTGCCTTTCTTATCTCACATAAACCATAACTCCCTAACATATTTATATGTGTATTCCAGTAAAGAAAATGTCCACAGACACAACTTACGCCTGTTGCTTCACCTTCACCAGAAAGTGCTGCCATCTTGTGTGGAGACCTTAGTGAAAACCCTGGAACCACCAAAACAGGTGGGCAAACTGCCACATTGCATGAAATAGGTTCCAAATGTATGTAAGAGATTGAGATTGAACGGGATCCTGAGCGCTTACAAATTCGTAACATATTGTACGAATTGCAATTCACTATTGCAGGTTTATTATATCTTTTTTATTTGCACAATATATCATACTAAATAGATGATGTTGTGCACAATTTTCAGCGACCCGTTTTTGCTTGTGAGCGCTGCTTTCAGAATTACTGGTGTAAATTCTACAAAACCTTTTAACGCATCTTTAATTGAAACACCTGAATAACTAATGGTGTAATCATGCATTTTTCCCATGAAAACATTATATTAACCACATAAGATCAATGATTGGGGTTAGGTTAATATATTTAGTCTGTGGCTCACACTAGGTGGTGAGTGTTTGGGGGCGGAGCCAGTCTAGGAATATCCAATCACACAACATGATTGTTGTAGACACACCACTTCGCATATAAGTGGCCGTAATGCGCTCTCATCTAACTTCTTTCATCTTCCTCACGGATTTGATGTAGATCCTCTACGACTCTCCTAAGGATGGACTTGGACCTCTGCTTTCCTGCTAACCTGTTCTCAGGTGGACCATAAAGGACTCCGCCGCCAAGCATAGGATAGCAGCTTCTCGCGAGAGAGGATTGAGCTCACAACGAAAACTACTTCTCAGTGTCTAGGCTCACGGTCATTCGTCGCAGATGCTTCAAGGTCCCGCCCCAACGATTCCCGTGGAGGAAAGAGAGGGAGACGGTCCTAGGGGTCCCTCCCCACCGGCAGAGGGGAGCAGGTCATTGTTCACACGATGTTCGGCCCTGCCCCCTCCCGGGCTGAATATTGCAGGAGGGGCATGTCTGCTCCACCAGAGCGCGTTCCCCAGTGCAGCGACCAATTGTTTTATATCAAAGCACAGGAAAGATGGAGCAGACCACTTTCCCCGGAGTGTCCTACATACCGTAGCGCTCCCCTCGACACCCTTGTTAGTCGAGTCAGAGGCCGGAAGACAATATTTAAGTTGCCACAAAGCACTGTCCCCGTTCCGTGTGCATTTATTGCCTTTTCAAATGAAAATACCACTGTTGCACCAAAGCGTTTCGCCAAGGGCACAGAACATGTTACGGCAGTGACCAACTTGCCACACAGGCAGAGAACTGGTGTGTGTGCACAGTCCATCCCTGGGTTCTATCCATCCATGGTTACGAGAGGCTACCGAACTCAGTTCGCCAGAGAACCTCCCACATTCAACAGAATGTTGGTTTCAGTAGCGACTGGCGACTCAGCTCAAATACTAGAACCGGAGATCTCCTCTCTGTTGAGCAAAAGGGAGATCAAAGTAGTAGTAGTCCCGTGTAGCTCAGTTGGTAGAACATGGCGCTTGCAACGCCAGGGTTGTGGGTTCGATTCCCATGGGGGACCAGTATGAAAATGTATGCACTCACTAACTGTAAGTCGCTCTGTAAAAGAGCGTCTGCTAAATGACTAAAATGTAAAATGTAGCAGCAGCAGAAGCCCAGAGCGGTTTTTCCTGGTTCCCAAGAAGGGTAGGGCAGCGCCGCCATTTTGGACCTACGGGTCCTCAACAACTATCTGAGAAAGTTCACGTTCTGTATGCTTACGCAAAACGTGTGGTCTCTCTTCATTCGTCAAGGCTATTGGTTCATTACAATCGATCTGCAGGATGCCTATTTTCACAAGCGTTCTGCCAGAACACAGGAGATTTCTCAGGTTTGCCTTTTGAGGCAGCTCTATGATATGAGTGAGGTGTCTCATCATGTTTCCCTTCACGCTCTGCGTAAGGAAGACAACATGTACTTAGAAGTGAGATGAACACGTATTACAGCATCTTACACTATCGGTCAAAAGTTTTAGAACACCTACTCATTCAAGGGTTTTTCTATATGTTTAGTGTTTTCTACATTGTAGAATAATAGTGAAGACATCAAAACTATGAAATAACACATGGAATCATGTAGTAACCAAAAAAGTGTTAAACAAAACAAAATATATTTTATATTTGAGATTCTTCATATAGCCACCCTTTGCCTTGATGACAGCTTTGCACACTCTTGACATTCTCTCAACCAGCTTCACCTGGAATGCTTTTCCAACAGTCTTGAAGGCGTTCCCACATATGCTGAGCACTTGTTGGCTGCTTTTCCTTCACTCTGCCGTCCGACTCATCCCAAACCATCTCAATTGGTTTGAGGTTGGGGGATTGTGGAGGCCATGTCATCTGATGCAGCACTCCATCACTCTCCTTCTTGGTAAAATAGCCCTTACACAGCTTGGAGGTGTGTTGGGTCGTTGTCCTGTTGAAAAACAAATGATAGTCCCACTAAGCCCAAACCAGATGGGATGGCGTATCGCTGCAGAATGCTGTGGTAGCCATGCTGGTTAAGTGTGCCTTGAATTCTAAATAAATCACAGACAGTGTCACCAGCAAAGCACCCCCACACCATAACACCTCCTCCTCCATGCTTTACGGTGGGAACTACACATGCAGAGATCATACGTTCACCCACACCGCGTCTCACAGAGACACAGAGGTTGGAACCAGAAATCTCAAATTTGGACTCCAGACCAAAGGACAAATGTCCAGCGGTCTAATGTCCATTACTCGTGTTTCTTGGCCCAAGCAAGTCTCTTCTTATTATTGGTGTCCTTTAGTAGTGGTTTCTTTGCAGCAATTTGACCACGAAGGCCTGATTTACACAGTCCCCTCTGAACAGTTGCTGTTGAGATGTGTCTGTGACTTGAACTCTGTGATGCATTTATTTGGGCTGCAATCTGAGGCTGGTAACTCTAATGAACTTATCCTCTGCAGCAGAGGTAACTCTGGGTCTTCCATTCCTGTGGCGGTCCTCATGAGAGCCAGTTTAATCATAGCACTTGATGGTTTTTGCGACTGCACAAAGTTCTTGAAATGTTCTGTATTGACTGACCTTCATGTCTTAAAGTAATGATGGACTGTTCTTGCCATAATATGGACTTGGTGTTTTACCAAATAGGGCTATCTTCTGTATAACCCCCTACCTTGTCACAACACAACTGATTGTCTCAAATGCATTGAGAAGGCACACATGTTAATTGAAATGCATTCTAGGTGACTACCTCATGAAGCTGGTTGAGAGAATGCCAAGGGTGCAAAGCTATTTGTGGCTATTTGAAGAATCTCAAATATAAAATATATTTTGATTTGTTTAACACTTTTTTGGTTACTACATGATTCCATATGTGTTATTTCATAGTTTTGATGTCTTCACTATTATTCTACAATGTAGAAAATAGTAAAAATAAAGAAAAACCCTTGAATGCGTAGGTGTTCTAAAACTTTTGACCGGTAGTCTATATTTGGATCTTCCTAGATTGGCTCCGCCCCCAGGCAATCCCCATTGTGAGACTCTTCACTCATAATATCATAGAGCTGGGGTTACATCAAGTAACCTTACGTTTTACAGTTCTGACAATTTACATGTTTGTTTTTTTACTCTGAACTTCACCTATGGCTTATAACAGAGTTTTTCCTAGTCAGGTCACATAGTCACGTACCATAGTCAGGGCCATGGGAAAGCTCCTGGCCCAATGACACAGCTACTGTATTTCCATATTCTTCATTCTCTGTTCTCCGTGCTTCTCTGGTGTCCACAGAGCAGTGACCAGGTAAAGGAGCTGTACACCCAGCTGACAGAGAAAGTGGAGGCCCAAAGGAAGAGTCCTCCCCAGCCAGACGAAGCCCCCTCCCTGGACCTGGGGCTCCATCCTGTTAAAGTGCCCACTACAGCCTCCACTCCAACAACATCGCTCTGAGAGAGGTGGTGGGAATGAGTAGCAAAAGAAGGAAACCCAGTGGTCTGAAAAAAGGATGCTGATATTACATGTAGAATTTAGGTCGGCTCATGAAACCACATAAAAAATTACAAAATGTAATTTCCTCTATAGGTACTGTGGTCAAGGTTTAGTTCATTTTCTAATGCTTGTTTTTTTTAAGATGTCTTATTTGAAGCAGTCTTCCGGCTTTAAAAATGTAACTCATTTGCCAATGTTTTTCAGTGTGAATTATTACTTTTAATTTTATAAATATGTAGTCTTGCTTAATTATTGTTGAAAGTATATTTTCTTATGTACTGTAATCTAGCTAGACTGAATGTAAATGTGTATGTACTGTTTGGTTTGTGTCAGTGGTGAGGCAAGCTGTAAATAAAATAATTTAGAAGTTTATACTATATATACAAGAGTATGTGGACACCCCTTCAGCCATGCAATTTCCATAGACAAACATTGGCAGTAGAATGGCCTTACTGAAGAGCTCAGTGACTTTCAACGTGGCACCGTCATAGGATGCCACCTTTCCAACAAGTCTGTTTCTGCCCTGCTAGAGCTGCCCCGGTCAACTGTAAGTGCTGTTATTGTGAAGTGGAAATGTCTAGGAACAACAACAGCTCAGCTGCGAAGTGGTAGGCCACACAAGCTCACAGAATGGGACCGCCGAGTGCTGAAGCGCGTAAAAACAGTCTGTCCTCCTTTGCAACACTCACTACCGAGTTCCAAACTGCCTCTGGAAGCAAGGTCAGCACAAGAACTGTTCGTCGGGAGCTTCATGAAATGGGTTTCCATGGCCGAGCAGACTCACACAAGCCTAAGATCACCATGCGCAATGCCAAGCATCGGCAGGAGTGGTGTAAAGCTCGCTGCCATTGGACTCAGGAGCAGTGGAATGCATTCTCTGGAGTAATGAATCACTCTTCACCATCTGGCAGTCTGACGGACAAATCTGGGTTTGGCGGATGCCAGGAGAACGCTACCTGCCCGAATGCATGGTGCCAACTGTAAAGTTTGGTGGAGGAGGAATAATGGTCTGGGGCTGTTTTTCATGGTTCGGGCTAGGCCCCTTAGTTGCAGTGAAGGGAAATCTTAACGCTACAGCATACAATGACATTCTAGACGATTCTGTGTTCCAATAATGCTCTTGTGACTGAATGGAAGCAAGTCCCGCAGCAATGTTCCAACATCTAGTGGAAAGCCTTCCCAGAAGAGTGGAGGCTGTTATAGCAGCAAAGGGGGACCAACTCCATATTAATGCCCATGAATTTGGAATGAGATGTTCGACGAGCATGTTCCACATACTTTTGACCATGTAGTCTATCTTGAAGTCCAAAAATATTACAAATGGAAGTTGTCAAGGGAAGCAATGACTCATACAGGAATTAAAATATCAAACATACAGTATGTTGAAACTATAGCAGCCAGACCTTTTTATTTCACCTCAGACCTAAGGAAAGTAAAGGTGGTGTAAGTGAAAATACTTTAAAATACTACTTAAGTATTTTAGGGGGGTATTTGTACTTTACCATTTATAGTTTTGACAACTTTTACTTCACTACATTCCTAAAGAAAATGATGTACTTTTTACTCCATATATACTGCTCAAAAAAATAAAGGGAACACTTAAACAACACAATGTAACTCCAAGTCAATCACACTTCTGTGAAATCAAACTGTCCACTTAGGAAACAACACTGATTGACAATACATTTCACATGCTGTTGTGCAAATGGAATAGACAACAGGTGGAAATTATAGGCAATTAGCAAGACACCCTCAATAAAGGACTGGTTTTGCATGTGGCTGATGTTTTGGTCACTTTTGAATGCTGGCGGTGCTTTCACTCTAGTGGTAGCATGAGACGGAGTCTACAACCCACATAAGTGGCTCAGGTAGTGCAGCTCATCCAGGATGGCACATCAATGCGAGCTGTGGCAAGAAGGTTTGCTGTGTCTGTCAGCGTAGTGTCCAGAGCATGGAGGCGCTACCAGGAGACAGGCCAGTACATCAGGAGACGTGGAGGAGGCCGTAGGAGGGCAACAACCCAGCAGCAGGACTGCTACCTCCGCCTTTGTGCAAGGAGGAGCAGGAGGAGCACTGCCAGAGCCCTGCAAAATGACCTCCAGCAGGCCACAAATGTGCATGTGTCTGCTCAAACGGTCAGAAACTGACTCCATGAGGGTGGTATGAGGGCCCGACGTCCACAGGTGGGGGTTGTGCTTACAGCCCAACACCGTGCAGGACATTTGGCATTTGCCAGAGAACACCAAGATTGGCAAATTCGCCACTTGCGCCCTGTGCTCTTCACAGATGATAGCAGGTTCACACTGAGCACATGTGACAGACGTGACAGAGTCTGGAGACGCCGTGGAGAACGTTCTGCTGCCTGCAACATCCTCCAGCATGACCGGTTTGGCGGTGGGTCAGTCATGGTGTGGGGTGGCATTTCTTTGGGGGACCGCACAGCCCTCCATGTGCTCGCCAGAGGTAGCCTGACTGCCATTAGGTACCGAGATGAGATCCTCAGACCCCTTGTGAGACCATATGCTGGTGCGGTTGGCCCTGGGTTCCTCCTAATGCAAGACAATGCTAGACCTCATGTGGCTGGAGTGTGTCAGCAGTTCCTGCAGGAGGAAGGCATTGATGCTATGGACTGGCCCGCCCGTTCCCCAGACCTGAATCCAATTGAGCACATCTGGGACATCATGTCTCGCTCCATCCACCAACGCCACGTTGCACCACAGACTGTCCAGGAGTTGGCGGATGCTTTAGTCCAGGTCTGGGAGGAGATCCCTCAGGAGACCATCCGCCACCTCATCAGGAGCATGCCCAGGCGTTGTAGGGAGGTCATACAGGCACGTGGAGGCCACACACACTACTGAGCCTCATTTTGACTTGTTTTAAGGACATTACATAAAAGTTGGATCAGCCTGTAGTGTGGTTTTCCACTTTAATTTTGAGGGTGACTCCAAATCCAGACCTCCATGGGTTGATAAATTTGATTTCCATTGATAATTTTTGTGTGATTTTGTTGTCAGCACATTCAACTATGTAAAGAAAAAAGTATTTAATAAGATTATTTCATTCATTCAGATCTAGGATGTGTTATTTAAATGTTCCCTTTATTTTTTGTAGCAGTGTATTTTCCCTGACACCCAACAGTACTCGTTACATTTTGACTGCTTAGCGGGACAGGTAAAGGGTCCAATTCACGCACTTATCAAGAGAACACCCCTGGTCATCTCTACTGCCTATGATCTGGCAGACTCACTAAACACACAGTCCATTTGTAAATTATGTCTGCGTGCTGGAGTGTGCCCCTGGCTATCCGTAAATATTTTTTTTATGGTGCCGTCTGGTTTGCTTAATATAAGGAAAGAGATTATTTATACTTTTACTTTTTATACTTCAGTATATTTAAAACCCAATACTTGACTTTTACTCAAGTAGTATTTTACTGGGTGACTTTTACTTGAGTCATTTTCTATTAAGGTATCTTTACTTTTACTCAAGTATGATAATTGGGTACTTTTTCCACCACTGATGTCGAGTGACATCACTGAAGAACATGGACTCGAATCTTGCTGTTTTCAGGAAGAGGGTGGCTTTTGGAGGACACTCTTTATCATCTGCTCATTTGTGTCTTTAAGTGTGAAGGTGACTTTAAGCTGGCCTGGAACCCACTCGTTAATGAAGAAAGAGTCTGTCGTGTCCTTCGAACTGTCCTCTTTACTTGTGTCCTCTATTCTCCTGCCACTCGCACACCCTGTGTCCTTATGGGAGTCATTTGACACAATACTCTTGAAGAAAGTCTCTTTTACTGGGCGACTTGTAGGTAGTGAGCTACACTTCTTACCCCCACCCAGCTTCATTTACATTTATATTTTAGTCATTTAGCAGACGCTCTTTTCCAGAGCGACTTACAGTTAGTGAGTGCATCCATTTTTCCTCCAGCTGGCCCCCCTCCCCCTGCAGACACAGGCCCTCTAGCTGAAGCTGCAGGGTGTCTGGGTTGCAGCTAGGGACCTCCAGGCAGGAACCTGATGTAGCATTCTCTAGGTGTTCGTAATCCATGTGACCTCTCAACATTCCTGATGTGTGTGCAGATCTATAGGAGGGAAACAATGATATCATGTTTGAGGGAAAGTGAAAATTACCAGTTAGCTAATCCTGCGAGCCAAACAAACTGTGACAGAGTTGTCAAAGAGATGTCAGTGCTTGCCTTTGCCTGTCTTGACGTCTCCTCTGTGGCTCCTCAAGCATCACCTCATAGAAGCGCCTGAACACAGGAGCTGTGTTGTCACCCTGGTGGTATTTCTCTTGCACATTCCTCGTGGGGTCTGAGGGGGAGATGTGATTATATCATCACATATCAAAAGGTGAAACAGTCTTGAACAACTACATTTTGTATCAATGGTTACAGTAGAAAGTCTGAAGAATGTTCCTGTTCTTTCATTTAAAACTGAGCAATGTGACTTTACCTGGAGTTATGCCAGTACACTGGAATATACTTGGTCTCTGTGGGCCAACAGGTCTCAAAGTCTTCAAACCACCGTTCCTCATATGGACTGATTTCCTGTACCGCCTGAGATCAATGCTCTTTAGGCTGGTATCAGCTCTGAGCTGACTCCGGCTGTCCTGCAGTGTGTCTGTCTTAGAATCATGAGTGTTGGGTCCTAGCAGTGGTTGCCCGTGAGACATTGGCACTCTAAAGGAAGAAACACATCATTGATGTTATCTTTCCTCTTTCCCCTCCATACTCATTAAAGAGTTTGAGTTAGCAAGAGTCAACTCACCCGTGATGCTGTGGTTGGTATTCTAGAGGGCTTGGACATTCGGGAATTCCTGATCCTCAGTGGCGGCTCTAGGCTGGGGCAAGACGGTGCTGAAGCATTGTCAAAAATAGGCCTAGCAACACCAAGAAAAAATGTAATAATGTTTTAATTTCAATATATATAACGAGTCTCCATATTTCTGTCTCAAAATCCTGTTCTCACAAAGGGTCCCACCTACATAACACCGTGCCTCCTCATTGGCTCAGCCAGAATCTCTTGAATTTGAGTGGTTGAAAAATCCTGCTGATTGACATGTCTTTGAACTATGTAAAATGTGCCTGTAGCTATCCCCTGATCCAGAGTCAGATCTTTTAAATCGCAAGCGAAATTAGTTTAAATCAGGATGTGTGGGTATCTGATCATTGATCTGTTTTTACAGGCAATGTGTACCGACCCGAGTCCTATCATTTCAAAATTGTTGCTCTTGACTTTTTGCAAATTGGTAAATGATTTAGCTAGTAGCTAAAGATTTGCAGATAACTGTGTTTCCTATAGCTATAACATTAGGCTACTAGCTGTAAAATATTGAACCCAAGCTGTTTTGGCATTGGAGTAATGGAGGGCTGTTGTTTGGGAGTTAAGAGTTGGTTTCTTGCAAACCCTGACATGATTTTCAATGACACATTGAGTACATGTGTAGATTCGACAATATGTTGTGTTTGAGGTCGACATCCTTCTCCCTTACCTCACTGGCGTGACCGCGTGTCTGCATGTAATCCACCCCTATGCAATGAACAAGCTACCCCATAGCTACCCCAGTGAAAAAATCCTGGCGCCGCCACTGCTGATCCTGTTGATGTCCCATTCAAACAGCTCACTTTGACTCCACTTCTCCACATTGACTGTCCCCGACCTGTTACAATGGAACACTTAGAACTCATCATAAAGAACCTTGAACTCATCGGAATGAACCGACATCACACATCCCCTGTAGCTGTGTTCCAACTGGAAAGGTGACAGCATCAGTTCCAGTTACTATCTCACACTACGTCATGTCTGGCCAGACTTGCATAGGCCTTCTCAAATGTACATCTCAAGCATTATTATTTTTTCATCTGGTGTGATTGTTAGTCTCTAATAGAATGTACAATTTTGGTAGCCTACCGTGGATCAATTGAAAGCATTGATGTGTTCTCATGCTTTGAGGATGGCTTTAAGCATGCTGACCTGCTTCTGATAGTATATCTTATCTGCATAACAAAAGAATATCAGAGGAAGAGACATGGCTATATATTTGCAGTTTAGTGCCTCTGACATCATGATCCCCTACCTGTTTCCTTCTCACTTGATTTGGAGTCTGTCTTGCTGTGTTGTTGTCTGGCTACTTCTGAGCTGGGCTGTAGCAGTGCTTTACCAATGCACTGTACAAAATACAGGGGCGTTCCAGAGCTTTTTGCTGGTGCCAGTGGAATGGTTCGTTTGAGTTTCCACAAACTGGACATTTTTATCTGTCAAAGCATTGAATGTGAGATCATTTACAAATGTGTCTTTGTAGTGGGTAGGCTACATAATTATCCAGAATGAACAAACTTAGTGTATCTTTTATTGTCTCAAATCTTGAAATTATAATAAAATAAATTATTATTGCTGCTGTATTCTTGTGAATTCTTTGTCTAATTACCATAGCGACACCTATTCATTTAAAGTTCCTTGGCATTGCTATGGTAATTGGACAAAGTAAAGAATTTGGAATTCACAATGTAGAAATACTGATTCTATTATAATTTCAAGACATTAGAATCAAAATAGGGTACAACAAATCTAAATGATTGGACCTATAGGAAAGACATGAAATAAAGCTAAAGTTAGGATAATTGTTAAACATGTATTTAATTAAACATTTTTTCACTGTTTATTTATTTAAATCCATTACTCAAGAACTGTTCCATCAGCAAGTTTTACACAATGACGATGACCAACTGGGGTGGTCTTGAAAGTGAAAGTTTGTATGTCCTTGTTTGAAAATGCTACAATAAGATTTCAAATAAATTCATGTAAGCATTCAGTGAAGTGGTGTCACAACCTGACTATAATAAGGTTAGGGGTCATGACTCTTATAACCACACAGGAAGAATAATTTGGGACTAGCGTCTGGTGATGCTCTGCCTGTACTGCAGCCATCTTCAGTTCCTGCTTGTTTTTCGGGGACTAATTGCCTTAAAATGCATGTTCAATTGGATTCAGATCCGGTGATCGACTCGGCCAGTCAAGGATTTTCCACTTTTTGGCCATCAAAAACCCCTTCGTTGCTCTAGCAGTATGTTTAGGGTCTTTGTCTTGTTGCATGATGAAGTGCCGTCCAATGAGTTTGGAGGCATTTGGTTTTATCTGAGCAGATAAAATATTTCTGTAGACTTCAGAATTCATTGTTCTACTTCTGTCTGCAGTCACATCATCGATGAAGACAAGTGAGCCTGTTCCACTGGCAGCCATACAGGCCCAAGCCATAACACCCACTCCACCATGTTTCACGGATGAGGTGGTATGCTTTGGATCATGGGCATTTCTTTTTTTTCTCCACACTTTCCTCTTTCCATCACTCTGGTACATGTTAATCTTTGTCTCATCTGTCCACAATACTTTTTTCCAGAACTCTTGGGGCTCTTTTAGGTGCTTTTTAGCAAACTGTAATCTCGCCTTTCTGTTCTTCAGGCTTATCAGTGGTTTGCATCTTGTAGTGTACCCTCTGTAGTCCTGCTGGTGTAGTCTTTGTGATGTCACGAGAGGCTGTGTCCTGGAGGGACGTTACATCCCCCTGAGATGGCTGCAAACCCAGACAGCTATGGCTCCATCTGCTGGTATGGTCGGGAACTCCACCCCTCTATGGCCAATCTTCCCACGCAGCTGAAACAAATCAGGAGCTGATGAGCTGAAGGTTTGTTGAAGGGAAGAGACACACTGAGAGTGTGTGTGTGGGTTGTGAAGAAACACAGTCTCCAACCTGGGCTCTCTGGAGGACAAGAGTGCTGCACGTCCACTTCCATGTGGAATATAAGGATTTGGAGATACTTACCTTTGGGAAATACTCACCTTTGGATATATGCACCTGTGGAAATACGTGAGAGACATTTGGAAGGACTTTTGCTGGGTTGGCCACTAGCTGCAACGTGGACTACAGTAAGGCTGGGGAAAAGTTATCTGAGCGAGTGATAATTATGATTTTGGATGTGGAAGAGACATCCCTGAACTGTTAACCCTTAAAGAGCCACAAGAGAACAGAATTTTGTTATATTTTCGTTAATTTCCCAAGACCTATAATAAAATCCTTGTTTTGTTTTAACCTTGTCTCCTTGCACTACTTGAGCAATCCCGCTGAAAGCTGTGTAGCCTCTCGTGACGTCACAGATGGTGGAGAACACGGGCATACTCAAGCGTTAATAGTGCATGTCAGAGGAGGATACCGAAGGTTTGATCACCCAGTTTTCCAAGTTGGCCGTAGGCTCCCCGCCGACTGAAATGGAGGACATATTGAAAGCCCTTGTTGCTGGCCAGCAAGCCCAGATGCAAGCAAACGTGGCTCTCTTGGAGGAGCAAAAGAAAGCCAACCTTCTGAAGGCAGAGGAATTGCAGTTGCAGAGACAGATGGTTGTCCAAAATACCCGCCCAATAAAGGCAAGTGACTTTATATCTAAGATGGGAGCTACCGATGACATTGAGGCATACCTGCATGCATTTGAGGCCACGGCCACTAGGGAAGCCTGGCCCAAGCAACAGTGGGTTGGTCTGTTAGCCCCCTTCCTAACCGGGGAATCGCTGAATGCTGTCCGGGACCTGGGCCCTGACCAGGTTACTGACTATGATGCCCTGAAGGCTGAGATCCTCAGCAGATATGGACTCACAACGTTTGGTATGGCCCAGCGCTTTCACAGCTGGACCTTCCAACCAGACCAACCTCCTCGGGCGCAGATGCATGAACTTGTCCGAATCGCAAGGAAATGGCTGGATCCGCAGAGGAATACAGCAGCGGCGGTGGTGGAGGCCGTTGTGGTGGATCGTTACCTACGCGCCCTGCCTTATGAGGCAAAACGGTTCATCAGTCAACAGGCCTTGACCACGGCTGATCTGACCGTGGAAGCTGTGGAAAAGTACCAGGCCACAGCGGAGATGCTGAATGCTTCCCGAAAAGACCCCAGGAGTGCGCCCCCACCACAAATGGGAAGAACCCGTCCAAAGGACCCCAAGGTCTCGAACCCAGCCACGTCAGGACTTATCCCGGCTCCAGGGGGAGCCAGAAACCAGGCGGGTCCAAGAAGAGTACACCAGGAGGGGGAAACTCGACAGTGTTACCGGTGTGGGGAGATGGGACATATCTCCTGGCAGTGTGGGAAACCAGCCGATGAACCTATGCCCACTGCGGAGTCCTCCAGCTCAGCACCCACACACCGTTTTGCCTCGCTCTTGGGAGTCGTAGATGGCGGCCCAGATCGACCCCCCACCTGCCCGGTAACTGTGAATCACCATGATGTGGAGGCCTTACTGGATTCTGGTAGCCGGGCCACCCTGGTGCGTAAGGATTTGGTGGGCCCAACGTGTCTGACCCCGGGGAAAGTCCTCCCAGTTTCCTGTGTCCATGGAGACACCAGAGAATACCCCATGACTGAACTTACAATGACCAGCACACGGGGAACCATACACACGACGGCGGGGGTGGTTGATTCCCTCCCCGTCCCTGTCCTAATTGGACGAGACTGCCCAGCCTTTTACCCACTCTGGAGAGAGTCTCAGGAGAGGATAACCCGAGTACCTCGGAAACGGAGAGGCAAGACTCATCCTGGGAAGGCTCCGGTGCAATCCTCCGAATTACTCACTCCCGCCCGGGCTCTGATAGGGATGGCAGGTGCCCAGACCGACACAGAGACTGGTCCGGAGACGGGAGAAGAGAACGCAGCCCAGGAAAGTGCTCCGTTCTCCAGTGAAGAAGACGTCCCAGGCACCCAAGAGCTTCCCCCTCTCACAGGCCAGTATGTAAACCGGGGATTGGTCAAACCACAGGAAGCCAAACTGCGGGCCATACAGGACTGGCCGCAGCCCATCACCAAGAAGCAAGTAAGGTCATTTTTGGGCCTCGCTGGCTACTATAGACGCTTTATTGCAGATTTTGCTACCATAGCTGCACCGTTGACGGAGCTGACGACCAAACGCCACTCACGAATGGTGAAGTGGAACCCTGCGGCAGAGGCGGCTTTCCTCAACCTGAAGCGAGCACTCTGCTCCAGTCCGATCCTGGTGGCACCAGACTTCAAGAAGGAATTCATTGTCCAAGCGGATGCTTCGGAGGGCTGGCAAGCACCACGGCAATGCGGACGCCCTCTCCCGGCTGATGCCTTCTTTGCTGCCTTTACCCCGACGAGGACGTCGGTCCCGAGGAGGGGGATGTGTGATGTCACGAGAGGCTGTGTCCTGGAGGGACGTTACATCCCCCTGAGATGGCTGCAAACCCAGACAGCTATGGCTCCATCTGCTGGTATGGTCGGGAACTCCACCCCTCTATGGCCAATCTTCCCACGCAGCTGAAACAAATCAGGAGCTGATGAGCTGAAGGTTTGTTGAAGGGAAGAGACACACTGAGAGTGTGTGTGTGGGTTGTGAAGAAACACAGTCTCCAACCTGGGCTCTCTGGAGGACAAGAGTGCTGCACGTCCACTTCCATGAGGAATATAAGGATTTGGAGATACTTACCTTTGGGAAATACTCACCTTTGGATATATGCACCTGTGGAAATACGTGAGAGACATTTGGAAGGACTTTTGCTGGGTTGGCCACTAGCTGCAACGTGGACTACAGTAAGGCTGGGGAAAAGTTATCTGAGCGAGTGATAATTATGATTTTGGATGTGGAAGAGACATCCCTGAACTGTTAACCCTTAAAGAGCCACAAGAGAACAGAATTTTGTTATATTTTCGTTAATTTCCCAAGACCTATAATAAAATCCTTGTTTTGTTTGAACCTTGTCTCCTTGCACTACTTGAGCAATCCCGCTGAAAGCTGTGTAGCCTCTCGTGACGTCACATCTTCTATGTATGGTAGACTTTGACACATCTACACCTGCATCCAGGAGAGTGTTTTTGATCTGTTGGGCTGTTGTCAGGGGGGTTTTCTTCACCATAGAGAGTATTCTCCGGTCATCCACTACAGTGGTCTTCCTCGGTCTACCGGGTCTTTTGACATAATTTCGTTCACCGGTTGTTTTTTTCTTGTTAATGATGAACCAAACTGTTGACTTGGGCATGGCCAGGGTTTCTGCAATGTTCCTGATTGATTGATTTTTCATTTCTGAGCCTTATGACGGCCAGCTTCATTTGCATCGACACTGCTGTCTTCCTCATGTTGTCACACACCAACAACAACCTCCAAAGGCAATAGCAAAGTCTAGAATCAATACTATTCATCAACAGCTCTCCTGCATTCACTAACGACACAAATGAATACACCTGCCTGACGA